GACAGCTATAAAAAATTAGCCAAAAAAAATTTTTGGCCAGTAATTTTTCAGCATAATAAATTCAATAAAAATTATATTTTTGAACTCGTTCAATTTTAATTTACTGTAATATTGATATAATATCTACATCATAAATTAAATATATTTTTGAATTTGTTCAATTTTTATTTACTGTAATATTGATATAATATCTACATCTAAATTACATTTTTGGTTCAATTTCAAAAATTACCATAATAAATATAATACCTGTTCTACGTACAAATAATTTTATAAAATTTCGTTTGAATGCTTGCCCAATATGTTTAGTGTATTTAACTTGTCCGAAAGTTTATGGAAAAGATTATTCTTGTCAACCAATAAAACTTGACAAGAAATATAAAAAAGACTCTAAATATCAAATTAGCTTTTATAGTAAATATATTACACAAATGGACTAATAATTCAACTAAAGTTGAAATTCCAAAAGATCAAGACTTAATTAATATTTGTCGAAAATGAGATAAAAATTATAATCAACACAATCAAAGCGAAATAGTAGATCTAATAATTAAAGAATCTTTATTATCCATGACAAATACTTTTGAGTTACTTGACTTGTCTGAAGTGAATACAACTGATTTAGAAATTAATAGTAAAAAAGATCCTGAATTGGATATTATTAACATAAAAAAGCCTGAATCAGGAGCTATTAATATAATAATACAAAAGAATACGAAAGAGCCTTTTATAAAATTGCTAAAAGTTTATAATAAAAATAGGGAATTGCTATTTCCACCATGTAAATTGAGCATGGCAGACATTTGATTTGATTGGCTTGAAGATTCCTAAGTTACACAACATAAAAAAATTTTTAAAGTAACTTTTACTATGAAAAACCACATCATCAATTGGCAACTTGTGGTTTTATATAATAAATTTTATTTAAACTATATTATCATGTTCTTTAACTCTTTATATATCTTTAGTGAAAAAAGATCAGTATAGATCAGTATCACTAAAAACTTTACTTAGAGAGCAAATTTAGCTAAGTTATATACATATAATGAATTAGTTAATTATTTTTCGCTTTCTAACTTGAAAAAAAATTATTTATTAACAAAAAATTATTAAAGTTAGGGTATTCCCAAGCAGCTTGAGATTGTACCCATCAAGAAATCTCTACCCAAATATTATTAGATATTAGAGTACCTGGTACTCAAATCACTCAAGAACAATGAAATGCCGATCTTAAATTTTACCCAATTAAAAAAATAGGTTGCATCTCCGATTTTATTTAATGAAATAGTAACCTACTTTGTTCAGTTTACTAAAACTAATTGACAAATTTTGTCTTCAAACTAGGTGGTGTACAATACCTGAAAGAATTGGAATAGACATTTATTATGAACCACCTAATGAGTTCAGGGATATCGAAGAAGATTTACAACTATATATTATGTATGTTGGTTCGATAGAGTTAATAGTGCGTGGAAAGGTGGTGCAGTTAAAGTGATTCGTGATTCAAATGAAAATGAGAAAGAAGTTATCTAGGAGTTGAAAAATCACTGTGAAATTGTATACAAGAATTCTTTGTTCTTGGGGTGTAAGGGAGTATCAAGAAATGATAAGTTACATGTTCCATATCTTAGTTATCTTAATTATATGTGGCTGAACTGCTAAATATTTTACTAATTAAAATTTGATTATTTCGACATATTGATCAAGAACGCTTATTATATTATTGTTATGGATTATGCATTAAAAGATTCGTTACAGCAAAATCTTGTACAAGTATCACAACTAGAATAGAAAGATAAATTTGGTATCTTGCACTATATAGCTCTTGATCTCGGGTAGTGATATTACCCAAACCCAAATAGGATAATTATGGCATTCTACCTAATTTGAGATCGGAATTGAAACTTATTCTTTAATCTTATTCATAACGAATGTCCCTTCAATCCCTTCATCAACAAACGACATGCAGATACGAGAACGGAGCCGAGAGTTTTGGTTCCAAATCATCAAGTTTGGGTATAAGACCCTAGCATCGCCTTAAAAAAATTTCGCTACTAGCGTTAGGGTTAGTTAGGGTTAGGGTTTGGAATATTTTTGGTTTGATTTTATATTACACCTGATCTTGCGAAATTTTTTAGGGTGGTGACACTAGGGTGGTTGGTTTGGGTAATATCAATAATTTCAAGTCGATTCATTCGCAAGAACTCATTCACAGAGATTTACAGTGGAAATATTTTGCAAGTAGCTTGTATGATGTGTATATTGCTGATCTTGGACTTTCAAAAAAAGTAAAGGATGGAAGAATTTGTGGAATTCTACTATGATGGGTCAGCCGTATACTTAAGCATTAGATATTTACAGCCTTGGATGACAGAAATTTTGACCGGACAAAGTGCATTTGATGGAATTCCGTTTAATGATGATATTGCTTTAAGAATTATCGGTGTATCTGGACCGAAATGTTTAGGACCAGATTGTTATATTAAATTAGCTATGAAATGTATGACATTTATAATTACAATCAATCGAAGTTATTCAGACTTTATCTTACAAATTCCTTTAGTGCAAACGCTATTATGCAGAATAATACTTTTCTACTCGCTTCACCCTCTACAAATGATAATATTTCTTGATCGTTACTCAATATTCTGATACTTGCTGCCTATACTTTTGGTTAAGTATACTTATTTAATTTCTAACTTATATTTTATTCAATATTTTATGCTATACTAATATTTCTTTATTTAGAACCAGATTATGGTTACGATAATGTCTTTATAAGCCAAACTATTTCATCAACCAATGATATTGTTAATTCATCAACAAAATTCCTAAACATCACCTTTACTAATAATATTAGTATTGCTTTATTAACATCAACTAGCAACATTATTAGCAATATCACCATCTACAAAGCCTCCGATAACAGCATTAGACAAAGAGTTTCAGCAACAATAGATTATTTTTGTAAAATCTATCATTTAAATTCTGATTTAGGATATACTATTAATATAAAAGTTATTAATAGCATGTTTAACGAATATGGCGAATGATATTTTGTGACTATGGATAATAATTTTGTCAAAAATAAATATTCGAATTAACCTTTAAGAGGAATTCATGACAGTATTTGGATTCTTAAAACACGTAATATATTTTTTTTAAACATATTTTTTTAAATTTGTTTTGGAAATTATTTGCTTTTTTTTTTTGGGCTTTAGCTGACCTAGATAATTGGAAGAGTAGTACGTACGCATTATGTTTATGCTTATTTAAAATACTTTATATGATTCTTATTATAATTTCTTATAGATAAAGTTATTATGGGCTTAGTACATCTTACTACAGAAGCTTCCAAAAATTATTTAAACCTTCCTAAACTTAATCAATCAACGTACATTGATAAATTATTGAATGAACTCGCCGATAAAGTGCCAATAAATCATTATTGTTTAAGATCAGATAATAGATCCCATAATGTATTTTATGATCAAATCATCATTTTAATACATATATATATAGGAAATAATAAAGCCAAAAGAACTGCTTCGAAGGTATTTTCAGATTTAAATACTATGATAATTTACAAGAATATCACTGCCTTCTCTTTTGGTTTTACAAATGACCTGGGTCAAGATTACGGCTTTCAACCAAGATATAAGTTAGTTGTTTCGTTTAAAACTGCTTCAGAATTAAATTTTATGTCTAATTTTCACATATTTAGGGAATGTATGGAATGACTTAAAAGTACAAATAGCAATACCCATCAGAATTATAATTTTTATAATACTATGCTTATTAACTCATATACTAAACTTTAAGGTAGATTTATTTTATCAATGTTCTTTTAGAAACTTTTATCACAAATATTTATATTTAAAAAGTTAAAATCAAAAAAATTCGAGGCACTAAGTTCTGCAATCTTAAGGCTTGGATTAATCATCCCTAATTTTATTTTTTTTGTTCTCTTTGTTATTTATAATTCTAAAAATGTGCTGGAGCTTTACTAGCCAAGGTATTTTTGCTAAATAAATTATTTATATTGTCATTAAATTAATATTAAATTAATGTCATCTTTATCTTTTGATTATGCAAAAACACTATTATAATAAATAGTGAGTAAGTAGAAAAGCCTCCCCAATTTTTGTTTATTAAAAGTCTTATATTAATCAATGATATCACCGACTGATTAAACAAAAAAGTTAATATTCATTAATATATTTATGATTTGGTAAAACCAAATATGTCATGAGAGTGAAAATCTGGAAATAAAATTTATGATTGGCTAAATTTTATTTTCTGGTTTTCACTCTCACGTACTCAAATATAATCAAAGGAATTAATATAAATTTAATGATTTATATTTATATTAAAGATGTAATTTTTATGGAATATAATCGACTTTTTATTTCTCCAACGTGGTGTCAATTCTGTGACCCTCTAAAAGAAGTAACTAAAGGAAATAAAAGTGGAAATAAAATTATCGACGAATATATTAAAGAATTTCAAATCAAAGCAACGGAATATGAAAGGGTAATTGAATGGATTCCATTTAATAGACTAATTAACTTACAAAAGATTAGAGAAGAAGAATCAGAAATGCTATTTATGACGACATGGCTAGATGGTATAAGAATAATTAAAAGTGAACTTGCAGAATATACACGATCACGTATTAAATTATATGGTGTTAACCTTAAAATATTACATGACTTTCAAACATGTGATTTGTTTATTGAAGAGGTAAGATAAAATATTATTGCATTATTTACAACTTATAGCGATGCAATTAATATATTTAAACCTTTTATAAAAGCTTAAAAATTATATGCAGATAGAGGGAAATGTTACAAGTTGGTTAAATGAAATGAAGATGAAAATGAAATCATTTTGAAAGCCAAGACTAAATGAGTTCAACAGGGCGGCCCCTCCAAAGTCCAATTACATGATGGTTGAAAATCTCACACCCTGCCAGATACATGATGGCAGATGATCGACTCTCAGCTGCAAAACTGTCATCACGATTTAAAAAAAGTATGATGAAAGTAACTTTGCATATGAAATAAAATATATGCTGTAGGAGCCAATCATTGGCATCATGTATTCGGCAGGGTGTGGATCATTGACCTTCATGTAACGGACTTTGGGAGCCACTCTGTCAAACTCAACTAAATCATGAGATGGTGAAAAACATGTAGATTTTGGCAGATACAATTTGGTAGTTCCAAAAAAAAAAGAGGTAGTTATTAAATTTTCTGACATCACCTTTTCAGTTACTAATTATTTAAATTCAGTAATAGCATCTAAAAAAAAGTTAGGATTAGGGTTAAGCAAATATATTCTCAAAATATTTATACTATCAAGCTACACAATACACAAAAATAAATCATCCTATGAAATTGTAATAATTTTATTGGTTAAATTTTAAACTTTAATTAATCGTCGTGAATAAAAAAAACTAATATACATAAAAAAAGTAACTAAGTTCAATACTGGCTGAATCTTTACCGTCTTTATCATAAAATTTTAATGACTTTAAACCTAAAGCTATAATCTTATCACAAACAAAGTTTTGACAATTCAAAAAGTTTATTAAGAAAGAATCTTTGTATATTACAAATCAAAAAAAATCAAAAAAAATAAAGTAAATAAAAAAAATACATAAAGTAATATTTAAACTATTTTATTTTCAAATTTGGGCCCCGATGTGTAATTTCCCCATTAAAATATATATATATACCAATAATAATACATATATTTTATACTACTAAATTTAAAAATTAAATTCCAAAAAAAAAGTTCTTGAAACGAAAAAACTAGAAGTTTGCTATTTACAACCACTAGTGATCATCACCAGTGTTGCTATATCTCAAAATGTACTAATTAGAAATATAACATAGTAAAGTTGGGTTATAAAAATTAATTTTTGCTTGATAATTAATCGGCTAAAAAAAATTAGATACATAAAGTTAAATAACTTTCTTACTAGATATTTATCATAATTATCATTGTGTTATTTGGATTAACAAAAATACCGTTCCTGATAGATGAAAAAAGAACAATTTACGTATGTATAATTCTTGATAAGATTTTAAAGAAGCTCTGAAATCAACTTCTCATGGCAATGCTAAAAATGCTAAAGTCATAACCCATAATATTGATTTCGACATATTGCTCCTAAAAATTGATCCTTAAGATAATACAGTACCATATCTACGCGAAATAACGCTCCTGGGCGTTATTTGATACACGTAATTTGATAATTAATTTAGCAAAAGAATTTTTAACAATAAAGTTAAACGATTGTATTGGTTAATTAGTTATTAGCTCTCTTTGAATTAAATGTCTTAAAATAACGCTCATGGGTAAGGTTATTTGGGTTGAAAAAAATGACCGAAAGCTAATTTCCATAAAAACAATTTCCGATCTTTATTTTATTTTATACGTATGTTAGTTACGTGTTGATTTTATAATCAGGTTTAAGCATTAATATGAGCTACCAAATTTTTACGTTATATTTCGACAGTAGTGTAGTTTTTAGAAACGGTACGTAAAACGGGGGTTTCATTTCATCAGTAATTTTGCATTAACGTTAAACTTATTTTATTTCAAATTATTTAACAACTTTGATGTGATTAATGTTCATTTTATCCGATGCAATTTTTTTAACATGTACAATAAAAATCAAATCGCATTAGAGTTGACAATCAACAGTCAAACTTAAACATTGTTCAACCGTGACACCGCTTCTCTTTAATATTTTCTAAGCCGTTTTCATAGAAATTGCTAATACTGCAGCATAAAAATCAGTGCAAGAAAATTATAGCTTACATTTTACTATCGATATTGGATCAGAAAATTTGACGTATTAACTCATTTTAGTATAGTTATAATACATTTTCATAGTGCGCCTAATCGAACGTGTCTATCTGATTAGCGTTAATATATGACCCTGGATATGCAAATAATGATAAAGCGTTTTTTGCTATTCGCTGCATCTTTGATTGGGCCAATAAAGTTGCATGATCATGTGTAACGCGACGATAAAAAATTCGGGTGTAATAAACATCTTTTTTTGGTACTGTACCTGACATAAGTAAATAAAAAATTGGCAATTTTCACTGAAACATAACGATAATCACAACAATTAGAAAATTATTAAAATTTTTCAGATTTGCATAATATTTATTTTGAAAATTTGTAAAAAACCCAGTCTAACTTGATTGGTTTTTGAATTTATCGGACTTGATCAGGAATACCGGTTTCTCAGCCCGCATATAAAACCATGAGGCGACAAATTTTAACTAGATGTTTGGGGCTGACATTACTCTGCTGACCTTAAACTTGGCAGGCTAGTTTTTTTTTTAAATGATTATCTCACATCAAGGTGCAGTGTGTCACCATTCTAGCAATACAGCAATACAGCAATACAGCAATACAGCAATACTGCAATACAGCAATACTGCAATACAGCAATACAGCAATACTGCAATACAGCAATACTGCAATACTGCAATAGAGATAGGAAGTACGTAATTCATCAATTTTATTAGTCCACGTGATATATTATAATAGCTTAATGTGACACAAACAGTATATGCGCTTTCTTGGCTTACTTTTGGAAGGCGCGGCATTAATATCGATATTACATCTTACCGCCATATACCGATATATTTTGATAAATGTTTCTAACGCTAATTATTTATTGCAGTTTAGCCATACAAAGTGAATAACGATTGGTAGGTAATCAGAGGTTTTTTTTATTGATTTATATATTTACAAAATAGTGTTAGTGGCTTAAAAAAATTTTATTACATTTATTTGAATGTGTCACCTTGGAAGAGGATAAAAAAAAAGGCTTGGCAAAAAGAACGAAAAGTTAAAAATGATTGTTAATCCTAATAAGGTACCACAATCAAAGGATCTTTTCGAGATAAAAATAATTGGCTAGATTTCTGTAATACACCAAATCCCATATTTTTTAATACAGTATCACCACGTTTACAGAATCACAAATTAATAACTTACATGTGGAACTTCTAATTCGACTTATTGGTATAAAAAATCATTGGTATAAAAAAAAAGTACTAACTCTAAATAACTCTAAAACGTAAAGGATTACATTTCTAATACAGAATATAATGATCGAATAGTCATTCGACAAACAATTTTTTTTAAGTGATTATTTATATTTGTGCAGGTGATCTTCATAAAAACTTTTATATATATAGGCATAAACATTACGATTTTATATTTTTCTTCTAGTAACAGCCCCCACTTTAATTTTGTGCGTCCCCAACGTCAAAGTTAACAACCTAAAAATATTCTTTGTCAAAAGATGTGCTCTTTGACACCGTCTGCTTATTTCGCATGTTATACTGTTGAAAAATCTGCTCAAGATTTAGATAGTAGTTTAGATAATGGTCTTAGTTCAAATAAAGCGGCTGAGAAAAGAAAAACAAATGGTTATAATGAATTTGAAGTTGAGGAAGGTGATCATCCAGTTGTCAAATTTATTAAGCAATTTGTGGAAAATCCACTTGTCCTTTTACTTCTTTGCTCTGCCGTAATTTCTTTAATAATGGGGAATCATAAGGACGCATTTTCTGTATTCTTGGTTTGTAATTTTTTCATCTATTTAATTTGATCCGATTTATCTTTATATTAATTATTTCCATTTTCATTAAAATTAAAATTAGGCTGTAACTATAGTCACTGCAGGTAAATTTATTTATCTTTCATATCTATTATATATAAATTACTTAACTCTAATTGATCTATTTGATAAATAGTCGGCTTTGTCCAGGAATATAGATCAGAAAAATCTCTTGAAGCTCTGAATAAATTGGTTCCACATCATTGTCATTTAACTCGGTAAATATATATATTGAATAAATTTTTTTCGCAATATTTTTTTCTTAATTACGTTGATACTATTTTTTTTAAATAGTGATGGTCATTTGGCAACAGTTTCAGCTACCGAATTAGTACCAGGAGATCTGGTTCGATTCGGTGTTGGTGATAGAGTTCCAGCAGATGTAAGATTAGTAACGGTTGGTATTTTATTTTTATTTTATTTTTTAAATGTGTTAAGTTTGAAATTATTGAAATTCTGGTTAAAAATTAAATCTTTTAAGTTAGGCGGTAAATTTGGAAATTGATGAATCAAATTTAACGGGTGAGACTAAACCTAGAAAAAAGGCTATTGATGTAATTACTTCCGAAAATAATTATGTGGAATCAATTCAAGAAAGAAAAAATATCGCATTCATGGGAACTCTGGTTAGAAATGGTATATACAATATACACACATATATATATATTCGATTTATTTGAAATAAAGTCTATTTTAGTATTTTTTTAGTTTATATTTAAAACTTTTTTTTTGTTTTAGGCCATGGATCCGGTATTGTTGTTGGAACTGGAAATAATACTGAATACGGTGTTGTATTTTCTCTAGTAAAAGAGGTCGGGAATCTGATTGTTATTTTACGATTAAATTATAAAAAAAAATTTTGTCACTTAATTAGTATAATATTCTTGTTATAGGCCGAAACACCAAAAACTCCATTTCAGATTAGCATGAATGATCTTGGGAAAAAGTTATCTTATTTGTCTGGTGCAATTATTGCAGTTATAGTTACCATTGGACTTATACAAGGACGACAATGGCTGGAAATGTTTACAATTGGAGGTTATTAAAATTCTTTTTTTATTATAATATTTCGATTTTTCGATAGTTATTTAGCATTTCTTTTTTTTTTGAATATAGTAAGTTTGGCTGTGGCTGCTATTCCTGAGGGACTTCCCATTGTTGTAGCTGTTACCTTGGGTTTGGGTGTTTTACGAATGGCTAGAAAAAATGCAATTATTAAAAAGTTACCTTCTGTTGAAACTTTGGGTTCTGTAAATGTAGTTTGTGTAGATAAAACTGGCAAGTATATCATGATTTATTTATAAACTACATTTTATTTATTTCAATTATTTATTAACAACCCGTCTTTTATAATTATTTAGGTACATTAACTGAAAATGTTATGACCGTCACAAAGATATTTACACTGGATGAGGAAAATACTTTTGATTTGGAACATGGTTTACCCGAAAAAACAAGTGTTGCAATGCGAGAAGTTCTTAAAATTGGTTTGTGACATTTATACTATTAGTTTTTATTTTTTTATTTATTTATTTCAATTTATATCAACTTAATTCTTCTGATTATTATTATATAGGAGGAATTTGTAATAATGCAAATATTGATGATGATGGAAAAAAATTTGGGCAGGCTACTGATGTTGCGTTACTTGATTGTCTTATAAAAATGAATTTGGAAGATGAATTAGTGGTATATTATTGCTTATCATATTATATTGTTTATCATATAAGTTATTCATGCTATAAATTAACTTGTTTATTAACAAATATAATATTAGGGATATGAACGAATTTCTGAAATTCCCTTTAATTCTGATCAAAAATGGATGTCTGTAAATTGTCGACGAAAGAATGATAATTCTTCAAAAGAGATTATATATTTAAAAGGCTCAATAGAAGTTATATTGGGAAAATGTACATCTTATTTTGTTTCAGAAACTCATAAACCACCGTTAGATGTTCCAGCAAAAGAGTCGGTGATGCGACATGTTACTGCAATGTCTTCCCTTGGTCTTCGAGTCCTTGCTATGGCATTTGGATCTGATCACAACAAACTTATTTTTGTAGGATGCGTTGCGATGTATGATCCTCCAAGAAAGGGTAACATTATTAAATTATATTATGTATTATTATATTTTATATCGTATAGATAATTTATTTATATTATAATGTATACATAGGAGTTGAGAAGGCCATAAGGGAGTTGATTGGTGGTGGTGTTAAAGTAGTCATGATAACAGGAGATTCTGGTAATTAAACACTTTTAATATAATCTTTTTTTTTCTAACTTTTATTTATACAAAGTATTACTTTATATTAGATCAAACGGCTCTTTCAATTGCACGAAAGCTAGGTATACCAGTAAACCCATCAAATCATTCTAACTGTTTAACTGGTGCAGATATTGAAGCGATGTCAAGTGAAGATTTAAAATCAGTTATTGGTTCAATAACTGTGTTCGCAAGAACAGCTCCAAAACATAAAATGGCTATAATACAAGCTTTTCAGGCAAATGGTTCAATTGTAGCCATGACAGGGGACGGTGGTAAGTTATTTCTTTGCCATTTGGAATGTGTATGCTTAATAAATTTTGATCTATATTCATATGTTACGTGGTTATTTCCCTTAAAGTAAATGATGCACCGGCATTGAAAATTGCAGATATAGGCATATCTATGGGTAAAAGTGGATCTGATGTATCCCGAGAAGCAGCCGATATTATTTTAGTTAATGATGAGTTTGTAACTATATTAGATGCTGTAAAAGAAGGTACCAAAATTATCCATTTTAAAGTGTTTTTTATATGTTTAATTATACAAGAAATTAATTGCGTAAAAAAATTTTTAAACAGGAAAATCTATATTTTATAATATCAGGAATTTTTTAACTTTTCAATTAAGTACAAGTATAGCAGCATTAACGCTAATTACTATGTCTACTGTATCTGGGTTGCCAAACCCTTTAAATGCAATGCAAATTTTATGGATAAGTAAGATCCATTCCAATACATTTGTTGATAAATTTATTATCTTAAATTTTATTATCTTAAATTTAAAATTTTAATAAATTTAATTTTAATAAATATAATTTAGATATATTAATGGATGGTCCTCCTGCACAATCTCTTGGAGTCGAACCAGTAGATGAAAATGTTATGAGACAACCTCCACGAAAGAAAAATGCCCCAATACTTACACCAGCATTAATAATGCGTGTACTTACTTGCGCCGCAATTATTGTTGCTGGCACTTTATTTACTTATATTACCGAAATGCGAGACGGTGTTGTTACAGCGAGAGACACAACTATGGTATGATATTTCAAAATTTATTTATTGTCCGACCTAACCTGAAACATTCGGTACACTATTTTATACGTTGATTACTAATATTTTTTTTTAAAATTAATTTTATCTAGACTTTTACTTGTTTTGTATTATTTGATATGTTTAATGCTTTAAGCTGTCGCTCAGAAAAGAAATCAATTTTTAAATTGGGATTATTTTCAAATCGAATGTTTAATTTAGCAGTTGCATTTTCACTTATTGGACAATTATTAGTAATTTATTTACCATTTTTCCAAGCAGTTTTTCAAACTGAAGCATTAGGACTTGATGATATTTTTGGACTTATGGTTATAACATCATCAGTATTTTGGATTGATGAATTTCGTAAGCATTATCATAATCAAAAACAAGAGGAAGAAGATTATGGGACGGTTGCTGCTATGGAAATGGCGTAATATATTTTTTTATAAGATTTATTATTATTTTTTTAATAAAATTTGGTTGGGACTTATTTTTCTTTTTATTATTGTAATATATATATATATATCGTCAAATTATAGACTTTTTTTTTTTTTCTTTTTTTTTTTTTTTATTTTGAAAGCATATAGATTAATTTATAGATATGAATGTTTATAATTTATAATACTGATATGAATAATTTTCATACAAAATTTTATCACATAATACAATTATTTTCGAATATTGAAAATAAAATAAATTTACATTTGAGAAATAATTACAGTATTTGTAAAAAGTATGAGACTTTTTAAATGCTTTAAAGATTTACTAGACAAATCCTTATTGAAAAACGTTTTTGCACTTAGGCCTTTTGATTGATTTTTGTTTAACGTTATCTCTCCTCTATCCCTAAGTTTCCCTTAATGATCGGCTTATATTCTGGCTTTTTCGGTATACCGATATTATATATTATTATTATTGTTTAATTTTTCTCTTCGCGTAAATACGCGTTAAACGAAATTTCAAATGGCTTTATGAATCTTGTATTCATTTAATTATTAAATGGAGAACAAAAGCAAATTATACAATTTATTGAGGTATCTGGAACTCTATATATTGCTGTTTATTAACTATATCTCAAACCCTATAATCATAAAATTTTGTTGTCCAAATTTTTTAATCTGAAACAATTCTAAACTGAAACGCGTTATTTTTTAACTGCATTCATGAACCAGTTTTGTCAAAATAATTTAATTTGAATAAAATAATTAAATATAATATAACCTATTAATTACGCTAATGTTTTTTACATAACATTTTAATTATCGATCACATCATGACAAGTAGGTCTCCGCATGGGCCGGGTAGGGCCGGGTAATAGCAATGCCCTAGCCTCTCATAGGACGACATTCGTATGATTGGTAGATCTACCCGTGATTTCCCGTGATAATTAACCAATCAAATCAATCAAA